AATGAATGGGTGCACTGTAGCGGGAAAGTCACCAGCTATATAACACAATATGTTGACATGGTACATAAACAATGTGTTAATCTCAGGAGCCATAGCTTTGTTTCCAACAATTTTAATTGATTGTGTGACAATACAGCAAAATATCAACAAGATCATTCACATAAAACATTAGCATTAATTTACTTATGACAGATCTGACTTCATGCTGAACCATTTCTATGCAAGCAATAAATTGTTTCCATTCTGAAAGTATTTACACCCTAATTAGCATTACAACACAACCACATTTAATTAAGCTTCGCTCAAGTACAAACCGGATTTGTCAATGTAAGGAAATATTTTTAATAGTATTTTTAAATATCAGAACAAATGAGACTGGAACAATCTGCAGTTCCAGAATATATCCATATCCACCCAGAGGAAGGTCAATGAAAATTAAACTAACATGGAATTTGGGGGTGGTGGTTCACACCAAGAAATGCCTTCTGTAGGCATATATGGATATTATTTTTGGAACATCACATTGGCTCTAGCAGCACACGTAGCAAATCAGGAATTATTGCAGAATTTATTCATTTATTTAGAGTGAGTTTCATTTGAGTGTTGAATGTAATCAGGCAATTACTCTGGTTTTACTAGGGTTTGAGATTGGCTGAGATGTCTAATTGATTTTGGTTTCAAGTGAAATCCATTCTAGTTGAGCATTGACTGGAATGATTATGTCATGAAGAACTGACAATTCTGCACACTCTCAACCTCTGTAAAACAAAGCTTTGCTAAATACCTCAGTATCAAAATTAAAGAAAGCTGATGAGAAGTAAAAGAAACCCTTAAAGCCTGTGCAACTTCTTTTTAAAGCATCATTGCCAAAAGTACTACTTATTATTCTTTTAACCTAGTCAAAGCAAAGCCCTATATATCAGCAACTGATTTACTTTAACAGTTTCTATCAAAATTGACAGTTAGCTGAGGGAGAGGCCAAGAGAAACCTTAATCACTTGTCAGTTATCTATTACTGTGAAAGTGGTGTGCATTAACCCATATAAAATGATAAACAGCTGGAAAAAAGAACACAGATGTGGTGTCACCACAATATTTGAATCTTTGTTTTGTTAAAATTTGCAAATGCTATCGTGGTCAATGGATATTCATTTACAGAGCCACCGGAAAATAAATAAATAATTTAATACTGATTGTCCCACTGTAAAATGGGACAAGAAATCAAAATTAAATACATGTCAACACACAATTTATGTCAGGAAGCCGAAGAACTGGTATCCATTGGGCTACTTTGCAATGAGAGCATTAGCTGTAAGAAACGGAATACACTCTTAAGCCGTTCAAGCATTGATGTCATTCCTAAAATTATAAGCTTTGCTTTGTCTTGAAGGGGTAATGCTGCAAGTACCCACCACACCCAGTCTGGACCATCATGAAGTAACTGAAGGTCTTCCTTGAAAGCTGGGACAGGTCCAATGGCATTAGTGACGCACTGACGCTGTTCTGTGGTCATCTGGCTGAACCAATTCTGCAATGTTATGTAACCATCTCTGTTTAGCGCAATGAGTTGCTTTAGTTCCTCCGCATCCTCAACGCTTTCATCTTGTAACCATTCTACAGTAGCTGTGTGATAACCATCTACCATGCTTCGTGAAATGACACGGAATCGTCGTCCACCTACTGTGTGCACAATGGAACGTCCATCAGGAAGAAAATGCACAGTTTCAACATTGAGCATGGTCCCATAATCTGCAAAGTCTTTATCTGGGTCATCGCTCTCCACACACATGCCAAACTGCCTGGAACCTGACTTGACACATCGGCGTAACATTAGGCGATATCTCGGCTCAAACACATGCAATGGACATGGCACTTTTGGCACAGCTACAGTACAGACAAAAATAGGCACATGTGGACTGTCACCTTTCCCCAAACTGTTGAGAAGAGAGTGAAAATAGATGTTAGAATGAATGTCAAATGCACACAACTCAAACCATTGAAGGCAACACAGTGATACAATAAGATGTCTTTCCTCACTTCAATCATTTTGGCTACAGCAAAGTGAATATGGGGTGGGGGAAATAAATGTCCCTTTATGCAGACAAATCCCCAAAAACTCGTCAGAAATTGCATGAAGTCACAGGACCCAAAACAATAAGGGGGTGAAATGCAATACAGAATGACCTCCAGTAATCTGATAGAAGACAAACAGGATCACCACTGTGACACACATTGAAACAACGAAGTAGCCCGGGACCCTGAGAAGTAAACTAGTGAGACAATCTCACATAGTCCTGAGAAGTAAACTAGTGAGACAATCTCACATAGTGCAGAGTGTAATTTATGGCTCTGATGCAGTAGTCACACAGGTCCTCACCCCTGCTGTTCCCTGGCCTTTTCCCCTTTGCAAAGTATGAGCGGACAAAAACTTGATAAGACATAATCTTAGCCACGTGTATGNCGCACAACGCCCTACTTGCTGGAAAAGTCAATATAACTTATAAAGGCATATAGCAGACTTAAAAACACTATTCTAAGAAACTTTCGTGTTAGCATACTGTATCAAACATACGCACGTAAACTCACGCGCACACATTACATAACAAATGCCAGAAGAATTTTACATGACAGTTTTCTGCGCCTGGCCGCGTGAAATCCAACGGACACATCTGTACGCTCCTTTACTTGATAGTAATAATAACTTCAAAATAAATTTCTCTCCGCTCTAACAGCTGTTAGTGTAGACAAGTACTACCTCGCTACATTAACGCAGAATAAACATTGATTTTGGAGTTACGTAACAACCATTACATGAATTGATGATTTCCGCCATTATCAATATCCCTACCTCAGAAGCGTGTCCATCTTTTCTTGATACGTTTTCGTTCTTTCATTGTATTCCGCTGGGAAATACTTAGCTAAAATGACGTCCAGTACTTCAGTGATTTCCATGTTTGGATCTCCTCGGTTGTACTGATCTAAAGCAGTTCTGCAACACGGACATTCGACACGATGATCAAGGCATCGTTCAAGACATTCCCGGCAAAATGTGTGCCCGCATATTGTCGTTATGGGCTGAAACAGTAAACTGTAGCAAAGTTTACATTCAAAATCTTCAACTTCTACGAACCTTTTTTTGATTCCTTCGCCAACGGCCTCGATTTCACTTTTAGGCTTTTTGACCTGTTGATTAAGCTTTGTTTGATCGTTAGTACATAAAGTTTCTTTGCCGTTTGAAAATGAATGAGATTTCTGCGCTCTCTTTTTCAACTCCCCACCAGCATTGCTTTTCGTGCTACTGGTAAATACATCGTGGCTGCGATCACTTTTGCCTCTGAGTTGAAGCGAAACTAAGTTCTGGTTGGACGATGTGAAGTACCCCCGGGTACTTACATGTGGAGTCAAGTGTTTCATAGTAACGTCCATTTTTGCCGTTCTACCGTCTTGACCAGCAAGTTCTTTCTTTCCGGCACGACCAAGTTTGAGAACTAACAAAGTTCTATTTGAGTTTGTAAATTTTGGGCTTAACAACTGATGTAAATTTTCCGTGAACTCTTGGCGATATCGGTGACTTCCGGGCGAGAGAGCAAAGCACCGTAACAGAGCCAGTACACTCTCTTCATGCTTGGAGGACAGGACCCCTTCGAGTTTTGCCAAGTTTGCTAGAACTACTGCTTTCCTATAGAAAGTTCTAGCTAAACTTGGCCGAAGTTTACAAGCTTGTTCGATGTCCCGTAGTGCCAAATCTGGTCGTCCAATTCGAAGAAGGGCGTCAGAACGCCAACACAAACAGTGAAAATCGTTAGAAGATGTAGACAGGATTTCAGTGAACCGCTTGATGGCTGTCTTTAGGTCGTTTCCAATGAGACATTCATGTCCCTGCATTTTTTCCACCTGTCTTTGATATTCTTTCGGAAACCATTTCTGGATACAATTCATTACTAGTACATTGACAGAGTACATCAAGTTTGTAGAAACATCCCTTCCACATTTACTACACTCTACATGGCCAGTGAAAGAGTGTTCCTCAGTAAGACAAAGTTCACAGAAAGTATGGCCACAAACCAAAGTCACTGGCTTCATAAACACACAGTTACACATTGCACAAGAGAACATACTTTGGCTACTGCTGCCTTCTTGAGAACAGCTTTCTTCCTTTCCATCTTTACACAGTTTGTTTCGTTGAAATTCTACAAGCGCAGTCACTAACGATGTTATGCATTCCTTGGGTACAACTCCGACTCGAAACGCATTCGAATATGCACTAAAAGATTTGTCCAGTTGTCCATTTCGAGCAAACCTTTCTCCTTGTTCCAGAAGTGTTTCAAGGACATTCGGCTCGTCCGTCAATAATTTTTCCATTTATGTTCCCCTAGTACTGTTAGAGGAAAATTAGGCACAGCTTATAACGCAAGGAAATAGCCTTAATCGCCATGTTGTACTGAGACACTGTCAGAATCATTCGCCGGCTTTGTCACATTTGTCACATAATTCACGCAACAGCCTCAGAAACACGCGACCTATCACGTGTCAAGAACCAGGAGGCCGTGAAGACGCGTGACGGCGCATTTCCGGTTAACGTGAAACAGCAATATTGGTCCATTCACAGCACAAACTGTTGGCTCACTAAAACGTCTCCAAATTTATTCAACATGCATTCACTGATTAAAAAAGTGGTTTAACCAACCAGAAATCTAAACATATGAGTTTTTCTCAGTGCATTCTTTTAGTTATGTAATGTTTTACAGATGCCGTATGATGTTATATAACGCCAACTCCACAACCTCATTCCCAGGGCTTTTCCTTAGAAATCGGGAAAAGCCCTGGTAACGAGATTGCCAAGAAGCAAGAAACGCCATATAGAAAACACAGGCATATGACATTGAATAATGAAAACACACAAAAGAAGTAAAAAATTACTAGTTTCATGACGAATGTATTTGGTGCGGAATAAATTAGACCTCCTACAAATTGAAGGTAGACTCCATATTCTGGGTAGCCGACTAGCTATTCTTCTATGACAACAATGGGCATATAATTCATGGTAGGCCACCATAGTCTCCCAGCTATCCCATAATAATGCCTATAACACCCGTGTGAGTCCATTTACCCATGTAAACCCTTGAATACCCTTACAAACCCTTGCATACCCTTGTAAACCCCTGTATACCTTTGTAATCCCCTGTATACCCCTGTAAACCCTTGAATACCCTAGTAAACCCCTGTACCCCCTTGTATACCACTGTAAACCCCTGTATACCCTTGTGAACCCTTGTATACCCTTGTAAACCCTTTTAATTCCTTGTAATCCCTTGTAAAGGTTTACAGAGGTATACAAGAGTTTATAGAGGTATACAAGGGTGTACAGGGGTTTACAATAGTTTACAAGGGTTTACAGGAGTATAGAGAGGGATAAAAGGGATAAAAGGGTTTACCAAGGTATTTAAGGGTATACAGGGGCTTACAAGGGTTTACAGGGGTATAAGGGGGTTTTATGGTTATATAAGGGTATAGAGGGGTTTATAAGGGTGTACAAGGGTATACAGGGGTTGACAAGTGTTTACAAGGGTATACAAGGTATACAGGGGTTCACAAGGGTGTACAGGGATATACAAGGGTTTACATGGGTATACAAGGGTATACAGGGGTATACATGGTTTTACAAGGGTGTGCAGGGATATACAAGGGTTTGTATGAGCATAGATCGGTATACAAGGGTTTACAAGGGTTTACATGGGTATACAGGGGTATACAGGAGTTTACATGGTTATATAAGGGTATAGAGGGGTTTACAAGGGTGTACAGGGGTATATAAGGGTTTACAAGGGTATACAGAGGTTTGCAAGGGTTTGTATGGGTATACAGGGGTTTACAAGGGTTTACAAGGGTGTACAGGGGTATACAAGGATTTGCAGGCCTTCGTTGGTTAGCATTATTATGGGATATCTGGATGACTATATGGCTGGGAGACTATATGGTAACCTACCATGAATTATATACCCAACAAGACATGGGCCACGGGCATTGTTTTGATGTATAACTTTTGACACGTGCCTTGCTCGGTAAAAGTAATCAAGAGTTAAGGCATAGTGTTTTCTCGTTGCCATGTACATCATGGACCTCCGGTATGGCATTCAAACAAACTAAATCAAAACTCCGTCACTCGGAGATTCTTAATACATCCTAATGTGAACTTTTTCCAATATCTAATTTGTAATCAATGCATTGTGATAAAAATGCAATATCCTGTATTTTGATTGAGCTTTTCGAAGCGGGGTTGCTTTGAATGACTAACTGCGTGATCGACTGAGAAGCAGGTGAAGATGACTAGTAAAAATCGATAAAAGATGATCGCGGACTAACTCTGACCTCATATCGCCCTTTGGATTATGTTTCCACTTCTCACTAGTATTTCCATAACCTCGATATCGCCGTTCAGAGTGAGCTTATCACCCAAATAATTCATGTCTACTCGAGAGAGGTGATAGAGGCAACAGGGAAATTTTGTGAGAAAACAACGATCAATCAGCAAATAAGTTAGAATATAATTTAATACTTTTATTACTTTAAGCGAGAAAATTCTTTACCTATACAGAAGAATATCGTTCAGTGTCTAACAAGATAAACGCCAGTAAAAAACAACACGTGAAACTATACATATACACGACGGTGGATGAAGGAAGCAAGGGGGGGGGGGGGGG